GTTTTCCATTAGAAGGCTGAGAGAGAGGGTGGGGGAGAGAGAGACAGAGACAGAGACAGAGAGAGACAGAGAGAGAGAGACAGAGAGAGAGAATAAGAGAGAGAGAGTACTTACAGCAGGCCCAGAACCTCCAGGGGGTCCTGCAATTCCAGGAGGGCCTCCTTCCCCTTTCTCACCTGGAGCCCCTCTCTCCCCCTTAGCACCAGGCTCTCCATTCTGTCCCTGCATGCAGAAAGGACAACCATCTGTCAGCTGACGTTCTTTATCATATACTTGGTTTCTCATTATTTCTCTTCAGAATATAGAATTCTTCAGATGGAAAGACATTGAAATAAAATAAAAAAGAAGTCTCTCTGAAGACACAACAAAATAAAGTCAATCAAAATATTTCCATGACAGGACATTCTTGGGGGGGAGGGGAGAGAGGGAGGAGGGAGGGAGGTGTCGGTGATGGGCCATAATAATCATATACAGTGTATATTGACAAAATAAAAATTTAACGGAAAAAAAAAACCAAATATCAACTCGGCAGAACTGTTAAGAGACTGATTTAAATTTTTAGATAGTAGAGATAATAAAAAATATCTGAAACATAAAAAAAAAAATATTTCCATGACGAAAGAAATTATCAAGAAAGCATAAGATGAATATTATTAGTTATTAGGAAGAAAGTCTTTTCAAGGATTGTGCATTTGAAAATGAGCACCAATAAATTCATTTGAGAAAAACTGGACCTATTTTCATTAATTATGAAAATTATAGAAGTTCTTCCATTATGAGATGATACCAATTTTCAGAGTGCTTTTATTTTATTTTTATTGAAACATAATCGATTGTATATATCTGTGGATTCCAGCATTGTATATCAATATCAGTGTTCAATATGTGATGCTCAAATCAAGATAAGTAGTATATTCAACATTGCACAATGTAATCATTTTTTGTGGCCTTTTACCAATTTCCTGCTAACCCTCCCCGCTTCCCTCCTCTGGTGGCCTCAGTTCTGTTCTCTCCTTCTGAAAGTTCAACAAATTTTGTGACTGTTGTGTCTTTCTTGCTTACTTTTTAATTGACTTGTTCATTTTGGGGGGGTCTCACTTATGACTGAGGACTTCTAGTACTTCTCTTCCTGTACCTGGCTTATCTCACTTCACGTAATATTCTCGGTTTTCAGAGTGCTTTTAAATTCATGATTCTGCTTTAGCCTCACGACCCAGGCATAAAGGCAGGATAGGTGTTTTTATTTCCATCTTTTA